TTGTGAGGTTTGGGTTCCTGTAACACTCTGTTTTATGAGATTCTGCCTGGGAGCCATCTCTAGGGGAAGAACAGGGTGTCCTCAGCCTTGCTGGAAAGTGACCCTGTAGGATTTTTGTTTGTTTTTAGGGGAAGATGACAGCTTCATCCTCCTGCCTCCCCAGGCTTTGATCTGAAGGCTCTGACCCCCTTCTTTAAAAAAAAAAAGTTTTACTGATGCATTATTGTTACTTCCTGACAGCTCCCTCTTCCTGAAAAGAATTTCCCCTTGCGACAAAAAAATTCTGTACAGCAAAACAGATTGACACATTGACCAGATAGATCTGAAAATGTATGTCTGGCGAGAAGTCTGTTGTTAACAGTCGATAAACATTTATTAAATATCTACTGTGTGCCAGGCACCGTGGGTCCAAAAAGGGTCGAGACATCCCCTCAAGGAGCTGACAATCTAATGGAAGTGGGAGGCCAGCCTTATTGCTGGTCTGGGCTGGCTGAGTCCTTCTTCAAGGGTTGAGCTGGCACCACTGACAGGTAGAGACAAAGGTCACTAGAAGGAGGAGAGGGAGGCCTCAGGGGGAGGTAATGTTAATTCTCTGCTCAGTGTGCATGTAATTAGCTTTAGTACGACTGATTCCTGTTTCATGTTCACCCTAGAGGAGATTAGGAGACTGAGAGCTTCTCCCCACTGGTCATAGAGGAAGATCTGAGGCCCCCATTCTATCTAGCAAGCCTTGACAGAGGTAGTGTGATATATACATGGATTAAGTGCCAGTCTTGGAGTCAGGAAGACCTGGGTTCAGATCCTGCCTCAGACACTTACTAACAGGGTGACCCTGGGCAAGTCACTTAACCTTGTCTGCCTCAGTTTCCTTATCTGTCAAATGAGCTGGAGAAAGCAATGGCAAACCACTCCAGTATTTTTCTGTTTCAGTCATGTCTGACTCTTTGTGACTCCATTTGGGGTTTTTTGGGCAAAGATACTGAAGTGTGAGGTCATGAAGAGTCAGACTGGGCTGAAATGACTCAGCAATGACAATTATTGGGAAGTTTTTCTCAATATCAAGTTTACCTTTGCCTCTTTGTGAATTCCACTCATGCCTCTGGTTCTGCCTTTTAGAGACCAGCAGAAAAAGTCTGAACTCCTCTTCTGTGCGAGGGACCTTTAAAGGTTTAAAGTCGGCCAGCATGTCCTTCTTTGCTTGTTCTCCAGACTAAATACCCCCGCTTCCTTCAGCTTGTCCTCCCGAGGCATATACTCAAGGTCTATCCCCATTCTGATTACGCTCCTCTGGAACCTCTCCCGCTTATCAAAGACCTAAATCCAGGTGGCCAGAGCTGAAAACTGAATGCACTCTGACGATAACACTGATGGTGTCCTTACCAGGCTTATACATGACAAGAAGCTCAGAGACAGAACTAACCAATTAGTGAGTATTTATTAAGTCCCTACTATGTTCCAGGCGCTGTGCTAAGCATTAAGGATACAAAGAAAGTCAAAAAACCTGTCCCTGGTCTTGAGGACCCCACAGTCTAATGAGGAAAAAAACATGCAAACAAGTCATATAACAGAGGGGAATTTCAGAGGGAAGGCACTTAGATTATGGAGGAATAGAAAGGTTTCATGCAGAAGGGAAGATGTTAGCTGAGACTTGAAGGAAGCCACAGAATCCACGAGGCAGAGATGATGAGGGAAAGCATTTCAGGCATGGGGCAGAGCCTGTGCAAATACATGGAGTCTAGAGATGGAGTGTCTTGTGTGAGGAACAGAAAAAGGCCAGTGTTGATGGATCTTAGAGTACAAGGAATGGAGTGAAGGGTGAGAAGACTGGAAAGGCAGGCAGGGACCAGGTTATGAAGGGCTTTAGATTTTACACAACTGGGATCTCAAAGGATTTGGGTACATGAAGAATGATGGGCCAAATCTAAGGAAATGAAATGTTGTAAGAACAAACATACCCTACCATATCTGGGTCAAGGACGGGATAGAAGGAAGTGTGACTGGGCAACAATGTTTAAAAAAACAAACTAAGGGTTTCAAGATAAATATGAATCGTGGAAGTATAGGTTTAGCAATGGGAGGGGTCTTGGAGATCACATGACCCAATCCAAGCACACTATATACCCAGAGAAGTGAGTACAAAGAAATGGAAGTTTCTCAAGGGTAGGGCCTCTGGCTCCTGGAGGAATCGGGAGAGACTCTTTGAAGACAGCTAGGGATTGAGTTCAAGAGGTGAGAGTGAGGATAGAGTGCATTCCAGGCAAGGAGAAGAGCCTAGCTATTCTGGACCTCAATTTCTTCATCTGTAAAATACTTGGGCAGCTAGGTGACAAAGCGAATAGAGTACTGGGCTTGGAGTCAGGAAGGCTTATCTTTGTGAGTTCAAATCTGGCCTCAGACACTTACTAGCTGTGTGACCCTGGGCAAGTCATCTAACCCTGTTTGCCTCAGTTTTCTCATCCGTCAAACGAGCTGGAGAAGGAAATGGCAAACCACTCCAGCATCTCTGCCGAGAAAACCCCAAATGGGGTCACAGAGAGCTGGACATGACTGAAAATGACTAAGCAACAGTCAGAGGAGGGAAGGTACCAGCAGATGAGAGTAAACTGCTATGGGAGGAAACATAGGAGTAGTCCTGTGGGAGGACTGGCTGAATACATTGGGGAGTTTAACCTGGAAGAGAGAAGACAAAGAAAGAGAGGATCTGGGAACTGCAAGTCTTTAAAGAGCTGCTTTTGCACTTGGCCCAAAGGACAGAATCGCCAGCAATTGGAGGGAGCAGGGTCAGAGTGTGGCAAAAAGATTGATGTCTCAATAATTGGAGCCGTGGAAAGGTGGCGGGCTGCCTGGGGAGGAACAGAGCATTCTCCATTGCTGGGGGTCTGCAGAGGCTGGATGCCCATGTGTTAGGTGTACTGTGGCCAGCTACAGATGGGACTGGACTGATCTTCTGAATCTGCAATTATGTGATTTTGTAAAGGTTGAGGGAAGAAGAAAAGGGAAGAGGAAGGCGGGGGAGAAAGAGGAACTAACAGGCTTAGGTTTAATGATTTAAGAGATGTTTAGGCAGTGTGCATTTTTGGGGACTTGGGAGTGGGGTGGAGGGTGGGGGGAGGCGTCCCCTCTCTCTTCCTGTGGGGATAGAGGGGGTGGTCTGCCCAGGCCAGAGCAGCCTCAGAGTGCTGGTGAGGCAGCCCCCCTTTCTCAGGAGATACCTCATCCTTGACAGAACAGGCCAACTCTAGTTTCATTCAGAACTCAGGGCCCTGAGAAGGGGCAGAAAATAGGATTCTAGTTCCTGTAACCCCATGGACAGGCATCCCCAGACTGAGGTTACAGAGGGAGGAGGAAGAGGTTAATTAGAGTGACTGGTGATGCTGCCTCTTGGGAAGCAGAACACTCTGGACAAGGAGTCTGTGGTGAGTGGGGAGGAAGGGTGTTTCAAGAGTATGTGCCCCCCAAAGCATTACCGTATGCTCAGCTTTCTAATAAGGAAAGAGTATGGCTGGGCTAAGAGTGTTGTTTCTACTTGTGAGGGCATGGGGGTTTCATGTAAATCACAGAGATATCTGAATAACAACCCCACATCCCACCCCAATCTCCCCACCACTGCCACGGCCAGTGAGCCCACCCATCTCATAGAAAAACAATCCATAGGCCCTTAAATCTGGAACTGGACAGAACCTAAGGGTCAGTTTGTCAACAACCATCTATTTGGGTTAAAATTTACCTATTTATTTACTATCATTTATTATCTCTCTCTCCCTCTTCTGCTCCCACCCTAATTGAACAATTAAAAAAACCCGAAAACCTCATAACACATATGCAGAGTTGAGGAAAATGTCCTCCCACTGGCCCGGTCCAAAGATGCTGGCCTCGTTCTGCATCTCTGCCTGTCAGGAGGTGGGGGATGGATTTCATCTTTGGCCCTCTTGGGTCTTGACTTATCCTTGCACTGATCAAATTTCTGAAGTCTTTCTAAGTTATGTCATATATATTGCTGTATCATATATCATATATATTATCTAAGTTATATATACATATATTATAATACTCACCACTCAATTATAAAGCACTTACTATGTGTCAGGAGCTGTGCTAAGTTTTGGGAAGGCCCTCATGTCCTTCTTGGGGGAAACAACATGGAGAGAAGTCAGTATGTGCCTCTAACTCAGCACCCTTGTTTTACAGATAAGACAGGGAACTTCTTCGGGCCTCAGTTTCTACATCTGTAAAATGGGAGTGTTGGACTTGAGGTCTCTTTGGGCCCTAGTTCTATGAGCCTGCCCTATTTCCTCCTGGGAGGGGAAAGCAGGAATGTCGGGCATTCCACAGGCACCTGTGGGCAGGTGCCAGCTCTGTGCTTTCCCAGGGGGGCCCTGGGTGCCCTCTCTCCCTCTCCTCGGGTAATAGAGCCCAGGGCAGCTTGCAGGTCCCCATCCGTGCCCAGCTCCTGCTCCCCCTCAGCTCCCCTGTGTTCCACTGGCTGGGGTGGGTTCATCCCACCCTAAGCAGGCTGCACATCCTATCTGAATCCAGGGATGGAGGTTCATGAACAAATACTCGGGTCAATAGCAGCGCCAGATGGGAAGGGGGGAGTGTGTATGTGTGTGTTTGTTGTTGGGGGCGGGGAGGAGGGAGGAAAGTTGTCGCAAATGCGTTGCCATGGAAACAAAACTCTATTTATCCACCTCTCTCTTCCCCCATCCTGCCCGGGGAGTCACCTGAGATGAGTTTAATCTTCAGCCTCCAAGGCCGGTAGGCACTGGCTCCCAGATGGGGCCTGCTGCCCCCCTGGACAGGGGCACCAGGGTCTGGTTCTCTGACATGGTGCCCAGCCCACTCTAGCCCCCCCTCCAGATTCTCTTAACCAGTGAACTGTCAAATGGTCTTTTCCTGGCCCCCTCATCTTCGGGGCCGTTCTGTCCAGCCCTACCTAAGGGAGGGGAGGGAGACATTTAAACAAACAGCTACTAACTCTGTTACGTGTTTTGGCTTTTCAGGAAACAGGAGCTAGCCAACAACACAGATGTGACCATCCCAGATCGGCCCCTGTCCCCTCCCCTCACGGCTCCCCCAACCATGAAGGTAAGTGACTCGGTTTCAGCATCTGGGGAGAGGGAGGAGAATGGGGAAAAGATTTCTTCTGTACACTCTATAGCCAGCCTTCCCAGCATCTTGTCTCTGTCTCCCCTTGTCCCCTCGGGTGAGACGGGGGTAGGTAGGGGCCCAGCTGGGCCATCCAGGTACGTTGACAGCTCCAGAGATGGGGACCAATTAAGCCTGGCCTCATGAAGAGAAAGTTATTTGTGTAACTCAGGTGTGTCTGTGTCACAGGGGAACATGTTGATGCTGTAATGGAGATAGAAGGAGCCCTGATAACTAGCCAGGAACTTTCTTGGGGAGCTGGGAAGTTGGGGCAGGCAGTGGGGTGGGAGGGGGCAGCCGTTCCTGGAGCTGGGTTCCTTATCTCTAATGATAGCTCTAGGCACAGGGGAAATGTGAAAGGAGAGGCTCTCTCGTGTCAAATGTTCCCCTGGAATGAATGGGTCTGCTTGGAGAGCTCTGGGAGAGGGGAGCCAAGTAGATACAAGCCTCTTGAGATGATAATAATAACTAGCATTTATATAGTACTCTAAGGTTTACAAAGTTCTTTATTTAATCTTATTTGATCTTCACAATGCTCCTGGGAATAGTAAATAATACCTGGGAGGTATTGTCTTTATTTTACAGATGAGGAAACTGAGGTTAAATGACTTGCCTATAGTCACAGAGCCCCTCTGCTGCTCTGACTACTTCCCCCACAATGTGGCCCTGAGCTCCCTTTCTCTTCCCATGGACCCCTAAAAGCCAGGGTTCTCTCTTCTCTGTGGCTGCTTCATCCACCCTTCCCAGAGGTTCTTCCCCATAGTCTAGAAAGGGACAGTCTCCTCGTAAACCAGGTCTCTGGGCTGAAGGTACAGGGGCCCAGGCCATCGCTGCCTCCATCTTCACTGGGTGAGCAGATCAGGGATTGGTCCTCCAGCCTTGGGATCCAAGTCTCATCAGTTCTGGGGGCACCCCCCAGACTGAGAGGGCCACTTTGAGGAGGGCGGGGCAGCCTCCAGCTGTCCTTCCCCAAGGCATAGCCTGACTTCTCTGGCAGGGCTTTCCTTCAAGTTTCTTTGGGGAGTCAACTAGTCAGTCAACATTCTACCAGCATTTATTAAGTGTTTGCTTACTACGCGTTTGGCATTCTGCTGAAGGGGGGGGAAGGGAATAAGCATTTATTAAGTACCTACTATGTGCCACGCATTATGCTAAGTGCTTAACAAATGTATTCTCATTTGATTCTCCCAACAAGCCTGCAAGGTAGGTGCTATTATTACCCCCATTTTACAGTTGAGGAAACTGAGGCAGATAGCAGTTAAGAGACTTGTCCAAGATCGCATGGGTAGTGAGGGGCAGAGCTGGGATTTAAGATCCCAGGTTCGGGGCTCTAGCCATTATACCATGGGGCTTAACTATTTAATGTGCAGAGTGGGTGTAATGTTGCTAGCTACCTCCTTAGCAACATGGAGGGTTCACAGGGGAAATGCAGCCAATAAAGGAGGTCACAAAGCCCAGCTATTAATCATACACAGATCTCAAGCTAGCAGGGATCTCAAAGGCTGTCTAATCCGGCTCCTCCATTTCACAGATAAGGAAACTGAGGCCCGTGGGGGCTAAGTGCTTTATAAGATCATTCAATTTGATTCAATAAGCATTTATTAAGCACCTACCATGTGCCACGCGCTATGCGATACAAAAAAAGGCAAAAAACAGTCCTTGCCCTCAAGGAGCTTACAATCTAATGGGGGAGACCACAAGTAAATGTACGCCAGGTGAGCTATATACAGGTTGAATAGGAAGTAACTCACAAAGAAAAGGCGCTAGGATGAAGAGGGGTTGGGTAAGGCCTCATAGATCTCCAGCTAGAAGAGACCTCAGAGACCAGCTAGTCCCACCCTTCCATTCAACAGATGGGGAAACTGAGGCCCATGGGGGCTAAGTGCTTTATAGGATCATAGCTCTCAGGCTGGAAGGGACCTCAGAGCTAGTCCAACCCCTTTGTTTTACAGATGAGGAAACTGAGGCCAAGACACTCAGTGACTCGCCCAAGTTCATCAGGTTGGAAGTAGGAGTTCAGACCCAGCCAGCTGTCTCCCCACCCCAGTGTCCTCTGCACACCACGCTGAACCACCTCTGTGATGGTTGTATGGTCAGTGTGGGCTAGAGAAAAGAGCGCTGGACCTAGAAACAGAAGACCTGGGTCCTCTAACTATCTGTGCGACCTTGGACAAGTTCCTTACCCTCTCTGGACCTCAGTGTCCTCACCTCTAAAATGGGGATAATTGCCACATCACTCCTAGGGTTGTAGTGAGGATCAAATCAAGCCAAGTGTGTCAGGCATTTGGCACACTTTAAAACGCTCCTGCCAGCAGCTGCTTAGAGCCCTGGGCTCCCTTTACAGGGCACAGAAGATTAAATGAAGCTAGAGCTGGACTTTGTAATAGCAGAAAGGAGGAAGGGCTTCTTATCACGATTACAATGGCCCCATTGATTCTGCCTGCTTCCTCCTGCACTCACTTAGTCCACCTCATCTTGGTTCCAGAGCTTATTTGCCTTTACTCAGAGCCCCAGCCGGGCTGGGGCTTCACTAGTGAGAAAGCTGGTGTGTGCTGTTGGCAAGGGTGAGGAGATTAATGGCCCATCAGCAGATGAGGGGAGGCGTATGTCTGGGGTCAAGGGAAATTCCCAGGCTGCACCTTGAATGCCCCAAGCTGGCCTGAGGACTCGAAGAGATGATGAGGAAGGCAGAATGCCTTCTGGGGACGTCTGCCACAGTTAACAAAGGCAACAGGTCTGCAAGGATTTGGGGAGCTGCCCAGGATGGTGGGGAGCTCAGCGTGGAACTGGGCTGCATGTGACACAAAATGGCCATAAATTCAATTAATAAATTCATAAATTCAGGCCAGGCTAGAGGGCACAATAGATAAAGGCTTGGCTGGCCTTAGAGTTGGGAAGACATGGATTCAAGTCCCACCTTTGATACCTGGGCTGGGTGACTCTGGACAAATCAGTTAACCTCTCAGAGCCCCAGACAACTGTCTACAGCTCTTGAATTAAAAAAACAGGTGCCAGTCTGTGTCATGGAAGGAGTCCTCCCACCAGGAGTTCTCCAGACTAAAGAAATCAGTTTCAGACCCCAAAGTGAAAACGCAGAAGGCACCCAAGTAGGTCCTGAGGATATGAAAATGAAAGCAAACATAAATCCTGTCTTCAGAGAGCTTATGGTCTAATTAGGGGGAGAAGGCATGGCCTTGAAGAGTGAGAGGTGCCACTCAGCCTTGAACATGAAATGACGAGACACTAGTCACAGCTCCGAACATCTGAAATGGAATAGCTAAGAGCATTGGTATTGATGATAATGACTTATATTTGCATAGCATTTAAGGTTTCCAGATCACAGAGAAAAAAGAGCCCTGGATTTGGAGTCAGAGGTCCCGAGTTCAAATCCTGGCTCTGCCCTTTCCTAACCATGTGACTGTGGGTAAGTCACTTAATCTCTTATTATAGCCTCCTCACAGATCCAGAGCTGAAAGGGACTTCTGGGGCCATCTAGTAGTCCAGTCATCTCATTTTTACAGAGAAGGAAACTGAGGCATAGGGTGGGTAAATTGAAAATGAAAGCGGTTAGATTAGTTGGATACTGAGTTCTTTTCCCACTCCAAATCTACTGTATGATCCTATCTACCTCAGGAGATAAAGAGGGCAAGTGCTACTACTCCCATTTATGTGTTTGGAAACTGAATATCAGAGAAATTTGGGGACCTACTCATAGTTACTAAGCTAGAAAATGGCAGAGCCATGATTTAACTTGGATCTCTCAACTCCACATCATTCATTCACTCATTCATTCATCAGGCATTTATTAAGCACCTCCTGCGTACTAGGCACTGTGCTCTGCATTAGGGAGACAAAGACACAAATGAACCAAGCTCTGTTCCTGTGGGGCCAATTTCTCTGACCATTTGTGTTGCCTGGCATTTATTTAGTGATTAACAGCTTACAAAGCACTCCATGTAAATTCTCTTTTGATCCTTACAACCCCTTGTGAGTCAGGTAGTGGAAATATTGTTGTTTCCATTTTCAAGATGAGGAAACTGAGACCATGTGGCGAATGAATGGCAGTCAGTCCTAGATCCCTGCTCTCCCTGACTCCATATCCAGCATCTTTTCTACTATAGCCCAGCTGGTTGTAGCTGAGAACGGGCATCAGGCCCAGCTTGGAATGATGCAAGGGACAATTGAGAACAGCAACTGCTTGGGACCATGGGAAAACGGGTTCAGAAGAGAATTGGATGAAGCTTAGTACCAACTAGGTCGACGGTGCCATATGTCGTATGACTGGATGCTTGCGCTACCTGGAGGAGGTAGGTCCGGACGGGCTGTGGAGTGAGAGCTTGCCCAGTGGGACCAACACCATTTCCATAGCATCTGGAGGATAGATTTAGGAACAGCAGGGAGCTCCAAAGTCAGAAAATCGAGCCCCTTCACTGGATAGCCGAGGCCCAGAGGCTTAAGTAACTTGCAGCCTCAGGGTTGGAAGAGACCTTAGAAGCGGTCTGGGTCAACCCTCTCATTTGACAGGAGAGGAAATGGAGATCTCAAAGGCAGAGTAACTTGCCTAAGGTCACACAGTGATTAGGCAGCCAATCCACGAGTCCAACCTAGGTGCTTTGAAACTACTCGGTCTTTGTCATTCTTTTCCTTGCATTGTGTGGATTTGTTCTCCCTGATTCTCGCTACTGCTTGAGACACACTAATCTCAGAGGAGCTCAGCCCTGAATAGTGAAAGGCCACCTAAGGGCCTTCCCTTGCCTGCCAGGTACTGAGGCCCACCGCACTGGTTTTAACTTGAGTTAGACCAAGCGAGAGGAGTCAGTGAGGTATAAAGATGAAAGTGACACGGGGCCAGGAGGGTCTCAGAACCGTGGAGAGTTAGGGAGAAATATCCTGTCCCTCTTCTCCACAGCTAGGCTGGGTCTGAGAGGAGACTTAGCAAT